ATCAAATTTGAATTTCAATAGCAGATAATTCAAATTAATTAATGTCACTATCTCGAGCAACGAGTCCTTATTCCCTCTATTATCGTGTCACAAAACCTTCCCTAATGACCTCATTACTTTTTAATACAATCAATTGAAAATTAATTAATATGATTAAACAAGTTTATGTGACATAATTAAACATAACACATTATTGCAGCTTTAGAGTCTGTGTAAGAAGGGAACTCTTTCCCACTATTTGGAATTTCTAGACAAATAATTTAATTAATTAATATTATTAGAAGGACAAAAAAGAATGGTTTGTTTTCATCAAATGGATAAAAATATGATGGCTATAGTAAGTAACCACGGGAGCAGAAAGCATGATTATGGTGTCTAACTTAAATATAATTAAGCACTTTTTACATGGGTTTAATCGCCTTCAAAAGTGCTTTTTTTTTTTTTTTTTAATAAACAAAATTAAACACATTTCCAGGTTCATTACTCAATAATTAATCTTTGCTTACGTCGATCCTAAGCATGCTTCCTCTATTCAGTTAATTTTATAAAACATTTCGAGGTTCATTACTCCATAATTTGTTCTATATCGACTGTTTCTTGAAGACAGTTCAAATATACAAACATAGTATATTTACATGCCGCATTTCTATTTAATGATTGTTGTTACGAAAATCTATAATAACCAGAGGTACCCAATCGACCAAGACAGAATTGCACAAGATGTGTGAGTGATTTTAAATAATCAGTTCAGAGTGGGTTAAAAAATCCACAACAAGTTAGATAAGAGGTTTTTCAAGTGGTTTGACAGGGTGAAACTAAGCCTATGTCCACTGTTATTTTATTATTTGAACCTGAATTACTTACAAATTGAGTTTAAGAGGAGAACCGAAATAGCGAGCTTTCTTTGCTTCACTAAGTAAGTTATTTGCTTTAAGTGTATTTTTCCCGGGCTTTTACAAGGTTGTGTTGTCTAAAATAAGGTTGATGCCTCCCTTTTATACATGTTGTCTATTAGTAGTAATTAAGAGTTGATAGATTACAGTTGAGACTATTTGCATAATTCTCAATAATGATTAGCTTAGGGACTGATAAGCTTATTAGTTAAGTCATCTGTTGTGGGATCGACACGTGGGCGATCCTAGTCGGTCGATCTTAGAGTAATCTATAGACAGATGGCACAAATCTGACTATAGGAAAAGCATGTACAGCAACGATCAATAATATGTTTTTGTTATTAATACATAGTAACTTCAATATTGTTTCATTTATTATATTTGGAATCGTAAAATAGTATTTTACACATGATGTAGATGCCTTTTCGTCTGTAGAAATTTAGAAGCATGCTTTGGAGTGAGGATGTCGAGAATTTTATAAACAAATTACCATGCTTCTGAGAGAGATAAATTAAATTAACTTTAACCCATCACCCCCTATTCGAGTATGTTTAGAGCAGGCTCTGTACGGTTTCTATTAAAAAATTAATTAATATCATATATGGACACAAATGAAGCATAAAGCCATAAACTAATGCTCAGCATCATCCTCCCCTTTAGCACCTGTGTATTATGCTCAATTAAATTAATAAATATATATTTATCTATGGAAAATCCAACTCAATTAAATATTGCGATTAACCAATTCAAATGGTATTAAGTTGAATTATATATATATATATATATTTTTTTTTTTTTTTTGACTAGATTGTCCGGGCCAACTTACACGCACCTCAACTAATCTCTAGAGCTATTGAACACCCTACAAACCCAGTGTTCCAAGGTAAGTCACAAATGTGTCCAATATGGTTTGAATCCAAAAAGTCAATGAAATGAACAAATTTTCTTGTCCGTCAAGCCAACCCTTAACCCCAAGTTGAAATTTCATGACACCACTTCATGGTTTTGAATCAACAAACACTTTATTATTAGAGTTAGCTACTATTTCCCATCCAAATAATGGTTTAATGACACTTTCTTACCTACATACTTTTAAAATATCATTTTACTATTCAAATTTATTTGTCGACGGCCAACAGAGAGTAAACTCGGTCTAAGTCATTGGGGTTTTTGAAAAGGAGATGCTGATGAGTTGTTTGATGGTTGAAAATTGGATTTTGGTGGTTGAGATTAATCGAAATTTGACTTAGGAGGGCTGCCTGCGCAAACCCTAATTGCTCAACTGTTGGCAATTAACGAGGCCGACAGGAGTAGGATTTGAAGAGTTTTGGTGAGTGATGATTAGAGAAAAGAATAGTGATGGTGTGTGGTCACAACGATGCCATAATTGAAAACAAAATATAAATTTGAATAATAAAATGATATTTTAAAAACTTGTAGGTGAAAAAGTGTCATTAAGCCATTATTTAGGTGGAAAAAAGTCGTTTACTCTTCTTATTATTGCTCTTTTGTTTTAATCCTTTATATGTTTTTTTTTTTCTTTTAAGGATCTAGATAGGAATAGCATTGTTTCTAATTAGGTATATGTGCAACTTAATTCTATGTGTAATTGATCTCATCAAAATGAATGATTGTATTAATTAATATAAACTTTCTAAAGATCATTATAACCTTAATTCGAGGTATGATAAGATGAAAAAGGAGAAGCATACGTCTCTAAATTATCAAAACCCTAATTGATGATGGTCCAATAATATATAAATCGTGAGTGAAAACACAATGACACACCTATATTTTTGTGCTTCAAAACCCTGACGGATTCAGTTTCAGTCTCCAAATAAACCATCATAAACCCTTTTCAAAAGTCTCTTATTACCACCACCATCATCATAAAAAAATAAAAAAATAAAAATTCCAGTAAAACAGTCTCACTCCATTCATCACTCAACAACAAGACAAACCATTTCGCCAGGTGGTCTACACACGTCCTAAATTTTCACCATCACCATCTGTCACTCACTCTTTTGCCTTGTTTACCGGGCGCTTCTCTGTTTTACTTTCTTCCCCATACTTCAATGCAGGCTCACCCTACTCCCATTTTCCCGAGAAAGAGAGAGAGAAAAACTGAAAAAGTCAGAGTAAAAAAACAGCAAAAGGAGTGTTACTGTTACTGTTTGGAAGCATGTAAGACAAAGACAAAGCAAAGGTGGAAAATTTTATATTCCATAGAAGCTAGTAAAAAAGTGGGCATATTTTGTCTAGAAAGGTGACGGGAAAATAAATATTTGGTCCCTAAAGTTTGGCTTATTACCTTTAGTCTCATAAAATGTTTTTGTAAAAGTTTTAGTCCTTGTCATAATGTCATTAGGGAAATTTAGGGACTAAAAGGTTGATTATAGATTCTACAAGACTAAAAATTAGACTAAAACTTCAGGGACCAAATTGTTATTATCTCAGTGAGGGGGGTGAGGTTACTGACAAGTTACCGGCTGCAGGCAGGTGTCGGGTGGGAGTGAGGTGAGAACGCCGCACTAGACTGCCAAGGCAGAATGCACGCGAGGTGACCGGTTACGGGGACAACAGGTGAAGACAAAAAAGCGTTGCCATTTTCTTGCTCTATTGACTGTTTTTGTGGGCTGGTCTGGTTGATACCACACATTCACCTCGATTTGGGCCCACACTGCACGCCCTCTCCTTAAAAGAAAACCCTAACTCACTCTCCTTTGTGGAATGTGAATTTCAATTTTTTTCTGTTTTTTTTTTAAATTTGTTGCAATTACCAAAAACCCCAACTCTTTTTGACTTGTACTTTTGATTATAGTAATTAATTAGTTTTAGATGATTTTGATGGATGGTTTTGAAAAGGAAAGCATGTTTTTTTCGATATTTACTATTAGTGGACAAAAATGCTTCTTTCTTCTTGTTCTTCCCAACTTCCAAGTTTTTTTCTTTTCCCTATGTATGTATTATTCTACATATTATAATTGTTTATACTTGATAAAACTTTTCATATACTTGACAATGTCATAATTTATAGATAAATATAGAGTTTATGTGCAAGATATTGTATTTTTTTACACAAGTTTTGATGCTATTTTCAACCCTTCATTTAAGTGTTTGAATAGTTGAAATCATATGTTTATGTATTAATGCATATTAAGTGTGTAATTGTGTTATCTCAATTATTTAAATTGTTTTTTTATCAATTAAAATGTCTTAATATGTATTAATAATAATATTTTTTTTTTTATGACCAAGGGTGTTCAGACCAGCTTACATGCATCTCAACTAATCTTCAGGGCAACTAATCCCCCAAAAATGTCTTAATAATTACAATAATAAAGTTTTTTATATATATAAATGGGGGTGTCCAAACCAGTTTACGTGTACCTTAACTAATCATTCGGAACCTTGAAACTATCTGTCTGATAAGAACTCCGGTGGCTACCCTTATTAGCAACCGAGTAGGGATTCGAATTTAAGACCTTTTGAATAATACACCTAAGAGTTTTTATCAAACCACTCGGTCATCTAGAGATAGTTAATCACATTAATCCATATTACAAAGTTTAATTAACTCTATCATTTACTAATCTCATTAATCCATTTTGTAATTCACAAATTGTATCAATCGTTAGAAGAGAAAATATCAAATTATTTAATTAGGTCAAATGAAGTATGGCTTAAGTAAATTAATTCCTGATATCAATTAAGTGCTAAATAAGATTAAAATTGTGTATTTATCTCATAGAAAACACTTAATGCATATTTATATATTGCACCAAACATTATCGAGAATAAATTGACTTAAACTAAATAAATTACTAAATAATTAATTTTGTAAAATTCATAGCTATCATACCACTTTACAAAAATATTAACCTAAAAAATTAATTAAAATTGGTTTTTAAAATCTGATAGGGTTTTAGAATAGATAACAAATTCCTTCTGTACATTTCTCACGCGCGCTGAGAGAGTACAGTATTAATCTTAATTATGATTTTATTATTATTGAAAGCGGGTTGGTCCAAGCCACCGGCATCCTTTAAATAGTCGTTACCACAAGTTTCTTCTCCCGCTACAAACGAACACTTCCCAGAACCCTAAACCCCGAAACCAGTGAAACTATCCACCAAAATCTTCTAAGTCTTAACCCTTTGATCGAACCAATTGACCAGCCAAAACGGGTCTACCGTTGTGGATGCTCGGGTTGGGTGCGGATCGGTTACGAGCCGATATGAATCGTTTGCTAGCATTACTCTTCCATCAGGTTATCATCCATCTTGTTCAATTTCTTCGTTAAAGATATAATGTATAGTTTGTTTTTTTTTTTTTTTTTACGATACTGATAATGTTTATTCTGTTTTATGATTTTTTTTTTTTCTTAGGGAGTGTTAGACGAGCAATTCTTGCAACTCCAGCAACTTCAAGATGAGAGCTCCCCAAACTTTGTATCTGAAGTTGTCAACATTTACTTTCATGAGTCTGAAAAGCTCTTGAGAAATCTCAGATCAATATTGTAAATATCTTCTTCTTCTACTCTTGCGTAAACTGTAATGATATGAACAGTTGTTGAATGGTTAACTTTTGATAAGCACTTTTTCAAGTGTGTGTTTGGTTTAATGATAAAGAATTAATGCGATGGTGGGATGGGACAGGATGGATAAAGAGTTCTCGGACTACAAGAAAATGGGAATTCATTTGAATCAGATGATGGGTAGCAGCTCTAGCATAGGTGCAAAAAGAGTCAGAAACGTTTGTGTTGCGTTTCGAGCCGCTTCTGAACACAACAACCGTGCTGGGTATTTCCCCCTTTCCTTCTCTATTCTCGCGCTCTTTCTCACACATGCACTCTCCTTCCTTCCTTTTTCTGTTTATAAAAAACATTTTTAACTGGAGACCACAGAGCACAAATGGAGTTTAATTTAATAAATTAAAGTGGCAAGCCTTTTCTTAATTGATAATCCACGTGAAACATCAGATTGCTGCATTATTTTTCTTTTCAAGAAGTAATTTGAATGTTGAGATGATAGAAATTTTCGGATATTCAGGTGTCTGAGAGCATTGGAGCTGCTGGAACACGAGTACTGTTACTTAAAGAACAAATTACACGAACTGTTTCAGGTATATACCCAGAAGCTTTATGCATTTCTTTTTGAACTTTTTGTCTTTAAAAAAGTATACTGTATATATATAAATTAATGAACACTAACAGTATAGTTGGTAATTACTTTATGTCACACACAGATAGAGCAACAGAGAATACTGGCAGCTGGAGTTAGATATCCAATGCATTTGTAAAACAACAAAGCCATAAATGGGTTATTGGGTTCCACTTTCTTCCAGGTTTTTGCAAGTCATTGGCATGGCAGCTGGAGTGTCTTTATTAATAATAATATTGTAGAGTTATTTTTTTTTTCTTTTTTCTTTTTTAAGATTTGAACAAGGTTGGTTGGTTGTAACATTAAATGCAAAATCATGAATTCTACTGATTCTAATGGAGGTTAATTTGGTAGCTCTGAATCCTCTGATTATGATATATTCAGCTTTAATTTATCCATGAAATAACACTGACGATACTGTAACATTGAAACAAAGCATCAATATCAATCAGTCAAGTAATTAAAGCTGATCAAGAGGGAAAAAACAAAAAAGTTTTGATGGTGATTGACAGGATGGATTGCTCAAATTCAAACACTTTAAATGGATTTACTATCTCAAATTTCTGTGACACCTGAGTTTCACTGTAACTTTCACCCTTTTTACTGTCTTTTAATTAACTCTCAGTTTCACTTTTCTTTCTTCTGAGAGTTTACTGTTTCTGGAATTTGTACACATTTTTTCCGCTTGTTTTCAGTCCAAGATCAGTTTCAGTGTCAAAGATATACTCAAATAGAGTTGAACTTTGGGGCTAAAAGAGAATTCTTTGGTACTGAATGAAACATTTCCCTTTATTTCAGTATCTATCGTATATTACTTCAGCTTCTCATTATGTACACAGTACATAGATGGTAATTAATGGTTCCAATTATATTTTCTTATTTCGTTCGAAGAGTTGACATTTTCATATTCTCATAAACTAAGAATTTTATGTCGATTGCAAATGAAACAGGACCCTACAGTGAATTTAAAACGCCAAAAGTTATAAACAATTGAATCAAAAATTTTATGTAACATTTTTTGAGTAAAAACAGAAAAAAGAACAGAAGAAAAAGAAAGGTATTTTGGAATACCTCATTTGGATCACCACAACAGGCAATGTGAAGGGTGTGATTATATATATATATATGTACCAGCCCTCGAGTGTTGAACCCGGGACCGACCAACCTGATGCTAAAAGCATTCACACCACCGAGTCAACAGAAGGCTGGTAGCCAGAGTCTTCATAACTTTTTGTTTTGATCGTGCATTCTGTTTATTTGGTATTTAATTGGTACAGTTAATACAAATATTGCCCAACCATTCAATCTTATTTATTATAAATCTATTAAATTGGCTTTTTATAATAATTTATCCATTTATTTGATGACACGTTGCTTTGTATAAATGTTTTGTATTCGCACTTTACACGTGTAATATTATTTTTATATATAATTAGTGTCTTGAGATGTAAGAGCCACAGACAAATATATGAGTTTAATTGAACCCACTCAACTTGTTAAAAAAATTAAAAAAATCTTTATGTTTTATGAAATTTTGGCCGGATTTAAATTCATGTTGACCCCACAAAAATGAATTATTAATTAACTTTTTTCTCTTCTTCGTTTCCTCTCATATCCTCTCATATTATCTTTTTAATTTGGTTGGATACTCAAGAAATACTACTCATTTTGATTATAAGGTAAGATGATTTTTTTTTTTTTTAACTTAAAATTCTTTTCTTTTAGTTTTGTTAATTAACGAAAGATCATGAGTTATGAGTTTTTATTAAGTTTAATTAATGAGTTTGAAATTTGAAGATTAAATTTCTAGATTTTGATTTCTTTTGCTTGTTGATATATGAGTTAATTAATTGTTGTTTTAAGTTGGGTTTGATAAATTTTGGTTAATTTTGAATGGTTTAAACTTTAAAGAATTGATGAAATCTTAACGTTATAGAGATTTGGTTTAATTTTGACATATTGATTAATTGCTTAATAATTAAAGTTGGATTTGATGAGTTTCATTTCATAGGTTTATAAGTTGAATTTTATTGGGTTAATATAAATTATTTGAAAAGCCTAAGTTATAAGACTTGAAGCTTTGATACATGTTTTGACCCTATTGACTAAAAATCTTGACTACGTCGATGTATTTTAATAAGTAGAATTATGAAAATGTTACTGCTCATCAAATCCGAGAAACCCAACTCCAATGATCCAATCCATTACTTCAAAAATAGGTTATCAAGTGATTTGCAGGCCTAATAATTTGCCTGATGTTTTGTTCCAAGTAATTTAATAATACCTAATTTTAACCATAAAGGATTGACATTTCGATCAAGAAGATTTGCTTACTTAATTGAGTTTTTAGATTCAAATCTTGAGGTTTTTTATCATTTTGTGACTTACTTGGTTTTTTAGACTTGTAGCATGTTCAATAAACTCTAGAGATTAGTTAAGATGCATACAAACTAGCCGGTACACTTCAGTTACCAAAAAAAATACCTAATTTTAATTTAGTAAAAAATTATTACGACCAATATTAAACTGGTTGGGCCTCTTCGTAACAACTAAACTGGCCCATGGAGCATGGCCCGATTGTCCGCATAAATCTGTATTCCCATCCTCTCCCTATTCTGTTCATGAATAAAAATTAAATGGATAGGTCCCAAATTATTATTTCTTGAATTAGTAACTAAAAAGTGCTTCGTGAAATTATTTTAAAAATTATTAATTTTTAAGATATTACGAGATAATATTATATTTCAAATAGATTTTAACAAGTGACTTGGGCCAAATTTGGGATTATCCAGCTCTTTTGATAATAGCTTATAGTACTGTTATTAAAAATAATCAAACTTTAAATTAGAAATTATAACATAATAATTAAAAAATAAATGGCAGGCAAAGGTATGTACCGACAATCTAGAGTAATACNGTTTTGTATTCGCACTTTACACGTGTAATATTATTTTTATATATAATTAGTGTCTTGAGATGTAAGAGTCAAAGACAAATATACGAGTTTAATTGAACCCACTCAACCTGTTAAAAAAATTAAAAAAATCTTTATGTTTTATGAAATTTTGACCGGATTTAAATTCATGTTGACCCCACAAAAATGAATTATTAATTAACTTTTTTCTCTTCTTCGTTTCCTCTCATATCCTCTCATATTATCTTTTTTATTTGGTTGGATATTCAAGAAAGAATACTCATTTTGATTATAAGGTAAGATGATTTTTTTTTTTTTTACTTAAAATTCTTTTCTTTTAGCTTTGTTAATTAACGAAAGATCATGAGTTATGAGTTTTTATTAAGATTAATTAATGAGTTTGAAATTTGAAGATTAAATTTCTAGATTTTGATTTGTTTTGATTGTTGATATATGAGTTAATTAATTGTTTTTTTAAGTTGGGTGATAAATTTTGGTTAATTTTAAATGGTTTAAACTTTAAAGAATTGATGAAATCCTAAAGTTATAGAGATTTGGAGATTTGGTTTAATTTTGACATATTGATTAATTGTTTAATAATTAAAGTTGGATTTGATGAGTTTCATTTCATGGGTTTATAAGTTAAATTCTATTGGGTTAGTATAAATTGTTTGAAAAACCTAAGTTATAAGACTTAAAGCTTTGATAGATGTTTTGACCCTATTGACTAAAAATCTTGACTACCTCAAGATTACTCGATATATTTTAATAAGTAGAATTATGAAAATGTTACTGCCTATCAAATCTGAGAAACTCAACTCCAATGATCCAATCCATTACTTCAAAAATAAGTTTGACGATAATTAATAATAATAATTAATCTACTTATCACTCGTCTTATTATTTAAACAGAAGGAGGAGTTGAGAGCGAGGGTGTTTGTTTTAGTGTTTTAAAAATTAAGAATGAATGAGGTTAAAAGTGAAATTAAAATAAATAAGGTATGATTAGGAGTAGAGGTTATCAAGTGATTTGCAGGCCTAATAATTTGCCTGATTTTTTGTTCCAAGTAACTTAATAATACACAATTTTAACCCTAAAAGGTTACCTTTCAGTCAAAGAGGTATGCTTATTTAATTGAGTTTTTAGATTCAAACCTTGAGGTCTCTTATCATTTTATAATTTACTTAGTTCTTTAGACTTGTAACGTGTTCAATAAACTTCAGAGATTAGTTGAGATGCATACAAACTAGCCCGGATACTCCGGTTATCAAAAAAATAAAAATAAAAACAAATAATACCTAATTTTAATTTAGTAAAATTTTATTACGACCAATATTAAACTGGTTAGGCCTCTTCGTAACAACTAAACTGGCCCATGGACCATGGCCCGATTGTCCTCATAAATCTGTATTCCCATCCTCTCCCTATTCTGTTCATGAATAAAAATTAAATGGATAGGTCCCAAATTATTATTTCTTGAATTAGTAACTAAAAAGTGCTTCGTAAAATTATTTTAAAAATTACTAATTTTTAAGATATTACGAGATAATATTATATTTCAAATAGATTTTAACAAGTGACTTGGGCCAAATTTGGGATTATCCAGCTCTTTTGACAATAGCTTATAGTACTGTTATTAAAAATAATCAAACTTTAAATTAGAAATTATAACATAATAATTAAAAAATAAATGGCAGGCAAAGGTATGTACCGACAATCTAGAGTAATACGAAACCAAACAAGTAAACAAACACAAATATCAAACTAGTAAAGAGAAAGAAAAACACGCGCGATTTACTTTAGTTTACCTAATTAACAGGTTACGTCCATCAGAATCAATATTATTAAAATATTTCCTCACCTCTTTCGTTACAATAAATGTATTTGCCCTATGATTTGTTATCATACTCATACAAAAGAAAAATAAGTTTATATACTAGATTTAAAGAGTGAAACCTAATATTACAAGGATCTACTTCCTTAAACTCAAACCCAATTAGGAATTAATTACTTAAAGAAATCTTATATCAAGACCCTCGAATGCATCTACCTCGCCTCTTATTGTTGAAGTGGTCGACAACTCCAACATCTGTTGTGCATCTCACATTACCGTATGCAACATTACATTACAATCTTACATGTGACAATTTTTTTGAGCTTCCAAAGTAAAATGATGCATCTAATGTTAAAATCAAAAAAGGATCATTCACTTCGCCTAACCAAGAATCTCTTTTCGAAGCTGAACAAGCACCTGTTAGAATCTGGCTGCTACAAATGGCAATGGCAACAACATATAATAATATATAGCTTCAATTTTTGAAAGCCATCCTTTGCTTCTGAAGCTCACTCGGCAACTTCACATCAGTCGCCAAACCAATGGCTTGCAGAAATCTCACCGCATACCAAGTCATATCCACTTGCCACCATTCCAGGCCATGTCGAGCTGAAAACTCAAACGCATGGTGGTTGTTGTGCCAGCCTTCTCCAAATGCAAGCAACGCCACCCACCTAAATAAACATATCAAAATAACTAGAGAATCACATAAGTGGGTTGCTGAGGAAAGTTGTATAAATTATTACCAGTTGTTCCTGGACAAATCTCCAGTGTTCCATGCTTGCTTTCCCCATACATGGCAAGCTGAGTTCACAAACCAAGTGATGTGGTACACCCACACAATCCTCACACCCTGCAAATGCCGACACATTGATGCATAAGCTTTCTACAAAACTCACTTTCAAATGAATTTCGCACTCTTGCCTCATGGTTCCATGTTATCTTGAGAACAAAGGGATACCCTTGTGCTCACGTTTAAAATGGATAAGACTTTCAACTAGTATTGGTTTCAAACTTCCATCTGATGACATGTGACTAGCTTAATATGTGGCTCTATTTTTTCTTCACTATTTTGTGAAAGAATGAAAACACCCATTTGACATACAAGAGGAAGGCCCTCTTCCTTGAATGTTAGCCATAGGGATGGGCACAGGCCAGGCCGGGCCGGGCACCCCTGTCTCCTGGCCCAGCCCGAGAGCCCAAGGGGATTCTCCGAGTTCTGAATCTCTTCCATTCTTTTCCCTGTTCATCTTTACCACTATTGGTAGATTAATTTTAAAAATATCTTAATTAAAATTGTAATAAGAAATACGAAATATTGAATATATAAACAAGTAAATATTTTCTAAATTAATATCAACTTTTCAAAGCTCTATCATTTCAGGAAAGGGAAAATAATTAATTATGGTGAATTAATTAAGCAATGGAGGCAAAACAAATATAGTTGTGGTGGAATACTTATTCTACGCAAGGAAAAAAATATTATTAAGGTGGAAAGAAAAAGTAATACAGTAAATAGTTTTAATAGATAGATTTAAAAATAATAATTAAGTAGGATGTTTTTAAAAGAATTAAGTAATATATATATATATATCCCGGCCCGTCCCCAAGGTCGGAGGATGTCATTGGGCCTGGGCCCATCCCGACCCCGGACAATTTCAGGGAATCCCCGCCCTGTTCGGGCCGGGTCCTCAACGGGGTGGGAAAAATGCCCATCCCTAGTAGCCAGTGAATTCAAGGGAGAAGGCCCACACAGTTGAATCACTGCTCACATTTTAGACTACTAAACCCAATTAACGTCACAACCATTTGATTTCTTCCCATTAATAACTATTGGAAGATGTAAGGTTAGGGAAGGGGTAACTTTATCTCCTAAAGCTTTACCAATTCTCTCATGGGACATAATGATGATTAAAAGATCAAATTGAGTATGAAACAGAGCCTGTAAAAGAGAAGCTTTCTTACCATTCCCCACACAATGAAGGGAAAGCCTCCCAATGCATATAGCAAAACTCCAACTGCAATTGGATGAAGAATATATGAGCTTCTCAGAAATCTGTAGAAAGGCTGCTTCTCTAAGTCCCCAACATTGCTTGGTCCTCCACACTGCAAATGCACCAGTTAAATAAACCACGAAAAAACAAAAAATGATTATTTAGTATGTGGGAGAATAATTCTTACTCTTTCCATCACAGAATTGGTATCAACCAGCCAACTCATGTGACTAAACCAAAACCCTTCAAGGGGGCTGTGAGGATCTCTTTCTGAATCACAAAACTGGTGATGATACCTATGTGTGCTCACCCAATCAATTGGGTTCCCCTGAAACCATCAAAAAGCATGCACTTTTAGGCCAAGAATCAATCACAAAACCAAATAAAAAATCCTTCTTTTTCTTTCAATAACCACCCACCTGAAGGGCTTGAACTCCACAATAAGCAAACAGGTACTCGAGCCATTTGGGTAACTTAAAACTTCTATGAGAAAGATTCCTATGAAATGAAAGAGTGATACCCAGAAGTCCAGTGACAACATAGAGTCCAAAAGCAACCCAAAAAGCACTCCAAGTAAAATGAAATGGTGCAAAAACACTCAGCAAATGCATTGCCAAAACAACACCAGCAGTGCTTATATCTAATGAGTTCCAATTCCTCCCAAAAAAGACTCTTCTTTTCCTCTTTACCACCACATCTGATAACAAAATTCTCCCCCAACTTCTCACTTCTGACTCTGGCTCTGGCTCTGGCTCTGGCTCTGGCTCTGTTGCTTCTACTGAAGCTGCATTGACAATTGCGAACAACTTCCTTTTGTTAGAACTATGAACACAAGGTACAGAACTGGTGTATATTTTCTTGCTTTTTAAATTAGAATGGCTTAAATTTAGTGCTTTAGTATTGTTCTGAGACTTTTTTCCAAGACAAAGAGGTGAAAAGATGAAAAATTTAGGCTTTGTAGATGACGTTGTGATCAAAGCCATGGAAAGAGAGAGAGGCTCCCCTTTCTCTGTGGGTATTTTTTATTAGGCAAAGAAGCGGTTTTTGGTGGGCTTTTTATATGCGTGTGATGAGGGGTTTGTGAAATATAAGAGAGTTTTGAATTTTGTGGTGTTGTCCAAGTGTCATATCTACGGTGTCAAAACTTGTGGATTATAGCGAGAGATAGATAAGGCGGCGTGGGGTTCTTTTCATTAGAAGTTATGTTCAGATTTCATGAATTAAAAATCCAGATATTTTTGCTTCAAAAGATAAGCTTTCTTTTGGCCTTTTTATAACCTTAATTTTGTATAGATATTTTTGCCACATTTTGTGTATGTGGTTGCTTATCCTTTTTATATAACCTCCTTCTACCTTTCTCCACTATAACCTTTTTTGCCCACTTCTTTCTTGTGCTGCAACTGTCTCTCTCTTGGAAGTTAAAGCAGCACTAAAAGTGTAATCAATGGCTGCAACAACTGGGTCAATCTTTACGTCTTCAACACAATTCTTTTCAAGCGCGAGGTCGGTTTCTTGTAGTAATGGAACTAGCCCATCTATTTCAAGCACACTTGGTGAGTCTCTTTAACACTTGTCTTTTTGATAGTTTCTTTAGTTTCTGGTTGTTTGTGGGGCTTCTGCTAATGGATAGACTAGTTGATTTTTTTATCCTGACTGATACTCTGTAAATTCTGTTATACAGGAGATTAAACATGTCTTCTGTTGTAATTTAACTTGAAATTTTGGGATTTCAGTTGTTGGGTTTTGATAAATTGGGTTCCTTATTACTCTAAATTTCTGGTAATAGGGACTTTCTTCTACCTGTGATAATAAGATTCAGGTGAATGATTTTCCAGTAATAATGATTTGTATTAAAGGATACAGACTAAATGGATTGTGGAAACACTTCGAGAATCTATGATTTTGATTAAAAGTCAAATTTCTATGGAAGACCCTTGTGGTTCTGAACTTTGGATAAGGTCATCAAATTTTGCTGATTGGAGTTTACACAATTGTCTGATGAGTAAATGTAATTATACATGCAATTTATCGTGTCGTGATGAGATTCAAGACCTAAGTCGTGAACGGTAATGAGTTAATCAAGTTTTCCAGCTAAGAAAATCTGATTTTGTGATGTTTAAGTCTTGTGCTATGGATGTAAAAGAAAGAAGGTTGTTCTTAATAGAAAGTATAATCTGAAAATAGTGACGACTTTATATCTGAAGACTTAAAATGCATAACAATTGAATTTTTTTCTGAAGCAGGTAGTAGTTTTACTGGTGCTTCTTTGCGGAGGAGTCCTTCAAAGAAGAAGAAATCAGTCAAGATTAGTGGAAAAGTGAGTGCTGCAGCAACCATTGCGACCGCTCCCTCTGAAGAAATTAAAGAGTATGAGTTCACCTTCAATGTTTAGTTTTTCATTATTTGATTTGATTAGTTGTTGCAGATCATCTCTGAAAATTTGTTTCATATCCTAAGATTCTATGTACACCATTGAACTTGATTGCTTTGCTTGTTATTTGTATACTTCTCGCTTTAGGTATACACGTCCTAGCTGGGCGATGTTTGAACTCGGGAGGGCTCCTGTATATTGGAAAACCATGAATGGCCTTCCTCCTATGGCTGTAAGTTTGGCAATGCTCCTGACTCTGAATTTTATNCTGGCTCTGTTGCTTCTACTGAAGCTGCATTGACAATTGCGAACAACTTCCTTTTGTTAGAACTATGAACACAAGGTACAGAACTGGTGTATATTTTCTTGCTTTTTAAATTAGAATGGCTTAAATTTACTGCTTTAGTATTGTTCTGAGACTTTTTTGCTAGACAAAGAGGTGAAAAGATGAAAGATTTAGGCTTTGTAGATGACGTTGTGATCAAAGCCATGGAAAGAGAGAGAGGCTCCCCTTTCTCTGTGGGTGTTTTTTATTAGGCAAAGAAAACGGTTTTTGGTGGGCTTTTTATATGCGTGTGATGAGGGGTTTGTGAAATATAAGAGAGTTTTGAATTTTGTGGTGTTGTCAAAGTGTCATATCTACGGTGTCAAAACTTGTGGATTATAGCGAGAGATAGATAAGGCGGCGTGGGGTTCTTTTCAATAGAAGTTGTGTTCAGATTTCATGAATTAAAAATCCAGATATTTTTGCTTCAAAAGATGAGCTTTCTTTTGGCCTTTTTCTTACCTTAATTTTGTATAGATATTTTTGCCACATTTTGTGTATGTGGTTGCTTATCCTTTTTATATAACCTCCTCCTACCTTTCTCCACTATAACCTTTTTTGCCCACTTCTTTCTTGTGCTGCAACTGTCTCTCTCTTGGAAGTTAAAGCAGCACTAAAAGTGTAATCAATGGCTGCAACAACTGGGTCAATCTTTACGTCTTCAACACAATTCTTTTCAAGCGCGAGGTCGGTTTCTTGTAGTAATGGAACTAGCCCATCTATTTCAAGCACACTTGGTGAGTCTCTTTAACACTTGTCTTTTTGATAGTTTCTTTAGTTTCTGGTTGTTTGTGGGGCTTCTGCTAATGGATAGACTAGTTGATTTTTTTATCCTGACTGATACTCTGTAAATTCTGTTATACAGGAGATTAAACATGTCTTCTGTTGTAATTTAACTTGAAATTTTGGGATTTCAGTTGTTGGGTTTTGATAAATTGGGTTCCTTATTACTCTAAATTTCTGGTAATAGGGACTTTCTTCTACCTGTGATAATAAGATTCAGGTGAATGATTTTCCAGTAATAATGATTTGTATTAAAGGATACAGACTAAATGGATTGTGGAAACACTTCGAGAATCTATGATTTTGATTAAAAGTCAAATTTCTATGGAAGACCCTTGTGGTTCTGAACTTTGGATAAGGTCATCAAATTTTGCTGATTGGAGTTTACACAATTGTCTGATGAGTAAATGTAATTATACATGCAATTTATCGTGTCGTGATGAGATTCAAGACCTAAGTCGTGAACGGTAATGAGTTAATCAAGTTTTCCAGCTAAGAAAATCTGATTTTGTGATGTTTAAGTCTTGTGCTATGGATGTAAAAGAAAGAAGGTTGTTCTTAATAGAAAGTATAATCTGAAAATAGTGACGACTTTATATCTGAAGACTTAAAATGCATAACAATTGAATTTTTTTCTGAAGCAGGTAGTAGTTTTACTGGTGCTTCTTTGCGGAGGAGTCCTTCAAAGAAGAAGAAATCAGTCAAGATTAGTGGAAAAGTGAGTGCTGCAGCAACCATTGCGACCGCTCCCTCTGAAGAAATTAAAGAGTATGAGTTCACCTTCAATGTTTAGTTTTTCATTATTTGATTTGATTAGTTGTTGCAGATCATCTCTGAAAATTTGTTTCATATCCTAAGATTCTATGTACACCATTGAACTTGATTGCTTTGCTTGTTATTTGTATACTTCTCGCTTTAGGTATACACGTCCTAGCTGGGCGATGTTTGAACTCGGGAGGGCTCCTGTATATTGGAAAACCATGAATGGCCTTCCTCCTATGGCTGTAAGTTTGGCAATGCTCCTGACTCTGAATTTTATTTTATTTTACATTTTGCTATTCAAATTATAATGCCTTCCAAACGTCTAACAGGGAGAGAAGTTGAAGCTTTTCTACAATCCCAAAGCAACTAAACTTACTCCAAATGAGGATTTCGGAATTGGTTTTAATGGTAATTTCTACACTGTGCTGTTAAATTAATCCAAATAATTTTGTTTTCTGCAGAATTTTGAGGTACAAATTTGGTCAATGCAAAATAGAAATAGTATTGTTGCTCAGAAATTCGCTCATTAGTTCACTAAAAATTTATACATTTTGTTCCATCACAATGAAAGCTCAACCTATGGCTCTCGCTTTTGAGCTGCCATCGGAATAGAATACCAGCTCCGGCTGTAGTATTTATTGTGTCATATAATATGTTTCAACCTTTACAATGGAATGATGCATTGAGCAAGGTGATTTCTCTGATAGCTGAGCTAATATTTTGGTAGCTCCATAGCTGAATGAGTTGGCTCATTTGGTATTTTAGACAGTCTTTTTCCTTTTTCTTTATTTAGGTAAGACGTTTTAGAGCATAATGTCTTCTGGTAAATGCCCTTTGTGATGAGAGTTGTTAATTTATATTTTTCAAAAACTTTCATATAAGTTTCACTCACACATACAACTACTGCAAACTGAGAAATATATGATCAGATGATGTGCAGTGCAATATAGATAGATAAGTTATTTATAATTTTCATCATCTTGTAAGTATTTGATTACCATTATTCTGGGTAGAGGCATGGTTTAAGTGGCAATTTTAGTGTTCTGACTCCATTACTTGCTACACAGTACACATTGCTTTGCAGAATACCATTCTGAGCTCATCCTTGTTGACTCAATTTGTTGTTTATACCTTTCCCAGGAGGTTTCAATCAGCCCATTATGTGCGGCGGTGAACCTAGGGCAATGCTTAGGAAAACTCGCGGCAAGAATGACTCCCCATTCTATACCATCCAAATATGCATACCAAAGCATGGTTGGTGCCACTCCACAAAATTCTTTTCCTTCCTTGCATGTTTTTGTTTCTCATGATTGATTTTTTTTTTTTCATTTTTGCAGCTATGAACGTGATCTTCTCATTCACGAACGGAGCTGATTGGGATGGTCCTTACAGAATACAATTTGAAGTTCCTAAAGCTTGGAGAAATAAACCAATTGATTTTTTCAATCAGGTAATAAGAAACACATGATGCTGTTTGAAGAAAGTAAAAGCAAATCAAGACATTCTAAACTAGCAGCTAGTATGGACAAGAAAAAATGAAATGAAATGGATCTTTTATGTGGCAGGGTCTGGCAGATGAGTTGAGTAAAGAAGGTGCCTGTGACAAAGCAATTTTTCCGGACACAGACATTGTGGTCGATAGATGTGCCATAATTGCTAATTTGAGTGTTGAAGGGGTAAGAGTATTTTCATCTCAACATCATTTATAGTGCATAATTTAGTAAATCTTATGACCGGAAAATCATTGCAGGGTGATCGATGCGATCTGAATCTCGTTCCAGGATGCATGGATACAAGCTCTCCCCTTTATGACCCACTTGCCAATGTAGATGATGGATCCTGCCTGATTGATAGCGATTTAGAGGACTAATTTCACCCTATCTATACCCTCTCAATTAGTTATATAGCAGCTTATACATTTACAAAGTCACAGATATCTTCACTAAAATTGCGGATTGCAGTTCAGGTATATATCCAAGCTTGGTTCAGCTCTGTTTTTGTAAATTCTTCAAATATATAATGGTTTAAGGTGTATTGAGCAAGAAACTATCCCTAGTTTAATAAAAAAGAAATAATCAGATATTTTGTATGAAAAAGGGAAATTCAAAATCCGACTTCATGCTTTCAATATTACATTGAACAGACTTTAATGGTAAAAAACATGAGGGTTCCACTTCTTAGTACTCATATTTAAGTCGTTTAAAATGACCCAGAGACAGAAATCAAATCAATTAAAGATGGTATTAAATGTGGCGTCAAATCTTTATTTCTGTGCCTAACAATTTTAGCTCTTTAATTCACATGGACCCCCAAAAATTGAGGCGTAGGTCAAGATGAATGAAGAAAATGACGTATTGGGTACTTTTGATTGTATTTATTCTATATTTTCATCTTTAAAATAATGTTATTTATTTTATTTTAACAAATTTTTAACTTTTTACTATAACGTGTATTGACACTTCTTTTAGTTGAATATAGGCACATGTTAGTAAAAAATAACTCACGTTAACAGTGTTTAAGTTGATGGTTTTTGGTTTTTTTTTACTGATTCGTAAATCCAAAATCACTTTTGAGATTACTGCTGAACTCCCTAAAACCTCTTCTATAAAACTCATACTTTCACTTATCAACTTCATTCACCGTTTTTAACCACTTCTAACTATCATTAATGATGCTAGTTTAAGAGTCATAATGTAGAATAAATGCTGATATGTATCAACTTGACTTTGAGATTATTGCTAAATAATTTAGGTGGGAATATGTCATTTACTCCAAAGAATAAAGATTTTATACGACATGGACCCATTAATGGCTGCAGACAGATCATAATAGAAGAAATTCTTGGTCTAAACAAACAATAATTGATATCATAAAAAGGGTCATGAAATTCAATGAAACAACAAAAGCAGATATATATAATAATTTAAAATTTTCATTCTCTGTTGTTTGGAAAGATATTCTGCATGGTATTTAAAATAAATATCTACAAGAACGGATATTAACAGCAAAGACAAGAACAAATTAATTTTAACAGCAAAGGTATCTTACAAAAAAAAAATCCCAACCCGTACTTGATCTCCATGGCCCCCATCTTTATAACTCCCTAGTGTTATTGACATTTGTTTTGTTTAATTTAGGGAAGCCTCTTTAGTAGCAATTAGTGATTTTCTTTTGGCGTCTTCATACTTTCCAGCAAGAGAATCGAATAAAATTCCGGCACCAACACCAACAGCCAAATCTATTGTATAATGGCCCCTTGTGCCCAGTAACCTTATAACTTGAAGAACATTTAGAATATCAAAAATCCATGCCAGTTCCCGTCGTTGCATTCGTCGCATATCTAATGATGCAATCACTGATCCGGCTACATGCCCTGAGAAAAATAGGAAAAATGATACATTCCCTACCGGAAAGTCCACGCCGGAGCCCAGAAATCCCTGAGATTGATGAACAACAACAAGTAGACTCAGTCAATAACATTAGTGGCATTGAATTTTCTACTCCATGCAAGTCTAATATGGAAAAAACAGTAGCTCCCACGTCTTAATGTGTTGGAAACTTTCCCCCAAGGACTATCTTTTCGTTGAATTTTCTTTTCAACCAAACAAGTTTATGATATTACACAGGAAATATTTTTATCCCACCTTCATTTTTTATGGGTTTTCATAATTTTTTCTAGGTATATTCGATTAAATTTCATTCACTTCCAAATAATAAACAAATAAAAAATGGAAAAAAAAATCAAGAAGGAATTGTTTTTGAACAAATTTGTTGTTTATTAATCATGATTAAATAAATGGGAAGTTAAAAGGATTATGGAAGAAAAAATAAATTAAAAAGGTCCGGAAAATAAAGAAGTTAAAAAAATTACGCAAAGGTTAATTTTGGAATTAAATAAAATATATTTAAATTTAATTAATTTTGGGCTTGAAAGGAGTTTAGGTTAGGGTTTAATAACACTACTCAATTTAAAAATATTTACAAACATGAAGTAAAATAGTTACGCGGACCCAAAATATATAATAAAGCCCATGGTATAATAATATTTTTGAGATTTGAAGCCTTAAAAAACATGTATATATTACATAAGATTAGTCAAACCCTAAAATCAAAAGCAAGCGACCGAATTTCCGTACATAAAGACAGGAGAACGACATCTTTCCACCCAAAGTTTGGCGAAACGACACTTATTCATCATTCGTTAGATTCAATTATGTTTTTCTTTAATATTTTATTAAAAATACAAGAATACCCTTAGATATTTAACATTATAAATTTTTTATTATTTTTTAATTAACCAAAAAGTCAAAAAAAATAAATAAATAATTAACCTCACCTAAAAAGTTACAAAATTGTTTAAAATTAAATTACCTAAATATTTATTTATTTATTTATTTATAATGTCATCAATATCCCATCATTATTATTCAATAATCTACTAAATTTATAATGTTTTTCATTTTCACTAATTAACATAGAAAATCAATATTTCTAATTAATTAAATAAATAAAGGGAAAAATACATCTTTACACTTCAACTTCAACTAATAAATAATCGAATAAAGATTTTAACTTAACTAAATTTTAATTTATAATAAACTAATTAATAAATAAACTATTTAAAAGTATTTTCGTTTTTTCAGTTAAATATTAATAGAAAACACTAACAGAACATGACAAAGGGTGGGAAAGAGTCATTTTAAAACTTGTTGGGTGGGAATGTGTCGTTTCACCAAACCTTGGGTGGGAAAATGTCGTTCTCCCCATGAAGATGAGTACAGCTATAGTTATAAGGATGAGTTAATGAGAAGGGAGAGAGAGTAACCTGCGGCAGAGGAAGCTGAGTTGAGTAACCAAGAATGCCACGGCAAGTGAACATGAATAGTGCTGATATCGTGGCCCTTGGTCTTCCTTCTATCAACCAACACCATAAAATATATGTCGTTTGCATCCCCACAAACACCTATTTATTTCACCCAATCAAAACGTCAGCCTAAGCCAATTATTTTTACATTAAAATCACAAAAAGAAAAAAGAAACTGACATTGCATGTGAGGTGCATGTATCGATGCCCTATTATTCAATTGCTTATTATGTTGCTTTCTCAATGCATGTGAAACTTCACCCCACCATTCCAAGCAAATAACATTCAAACACCAAAATATTAGTTGAATATGGGCATAGGTTAGCAAAAAATAACCCACGTTAACAGCGTCTAAGTTAATGATTTTTGGTTTTTTCTGATTGATTCGTAAATCCAAAATCACTTTCGAAATTATCGCTAAACTCCCTACAACCTCTTCTATAAAACTCATACTTTCACTTATCAAACTTCATTCACCGTTTCTAACAACTTTTAACTATCATTAATGATGCTAGTTTAAGAGTGATAATGTAGAATAAATGCTGATATGTATCAGCTTGACTTTGAGATTTTGGCTAAATAATTTAGGTGGGAATATGTCATTTACTCCAAAGAATAAAGATTTTATACGACATGGACCCGTTAATGGCTGCAGACAGATCATAACAGAAGAAATTCTTGGTCTAAACAAACAATAATTGATATCATAAAAAGGGTCATGAAATTCAATGAAACAACAAAAGCAGATATATATAATAATTTAAAATTTTCATTCTCTGTTGTTTGGAAAGATATTCTGCATGGTATTTAAAATAAATATCTACAAGAACGGATATTAACAGCAAAGACAAGAACAAATTAATTTTAACAGCAAAGGTATCTTACAAAAAAAAAATCCCAACCCGTACTTGATCTCCATGGCCCCCATCTTTATAACTCCCTAGTGTTATTGACATTTGTTTTGTTTAATTTAGGGAAGCCTCTTTAGTTGCAATTAGTGATTTTCTTTTGGCGTCTTCATACTTTCCAGCAAGAGAATCGAATAAAATTCCGGCACCAACACCAACAGCCAAATCTATTGTATAATGGCCCCTTGTGCCCAGTAACCTTATAACTTGAAGAACATTTAGCATATCAAAAATCCATGCCAGTTCCCGTCGTTGCATTCGTCGCATATCTAATGATGCAATCACTGATCCGGCTACATGCCCTGAGAAAAATAGGAAAAATGATACATTCCCTACCGGAAAGTCCACGCCGGAGCCCAGAAATCCCTGAGATTGATGAACAACAACAAGTAGACTCAGTCAATAACATTAGTGGCATTGAATTTTCTACTCCATGCAAGTCTAATATGGAAAAAACAGTAGCTCCCACGTCATAATGTGTTGGAAACGTTCCCCCAAGGACCATCTTTTCGTTGAATTTTCTTTTCAACCAAACAAGTTTATGATATTACACAGGAAATATTTTTATCCGACCTTCATTTTTTATGGGTTTTCATAATTTTTCTAGGTATATTCGATTAAATTTCATTCACTTCCAAATAATAAACAAATAAAAAAAGGAAAAAAAAATCAAGAAGGAATTGTTTTTGAACAAATTTGTCGTTTATTAATCATGATTAAATAAATGGGAAGTTAAAAGGATTATGGAAGAAAAAATAAATTAAAAAGGTCCGGAAAATAAAGAAGTTAAAAAAATTACGCAAAGGTTAATTTTGGAATTAAATAAAATATATTTAAATTTAATTAATTTTGGGCTTGAAAGGAGTTTAGGTTAGGGTTTAATAACACTACCCAATTTAAAAATATTTACTAACATTAAGTAAAATAGTTACGCGGACCCAAAAAATATAATAAAGCCCATGCTATAATATGATTTTTGAGATATGAAGCCTTAAAAAACATGTATATATTACATAAGATTAGTCAAACCCTAAAATCAAAAGCAAGCGACCGAATTTCCGTACATAAAGACAGGAGAACGACATCTTTCCACCCAAAGTTTGGCGAAACGACACTTATTCATCATTCGTTAGATTCAATTATGTTTTTCTTTAATATTTTATTAAAAATACAAGAATACCCTTAGATATTTAACATTATAAATTTTTTATTATTTTTTAATTAACCAAAAAGTCAAAAAAAATAAATAAATAATTAACCTCACCTAAAAAGTTACAAAATTGTTTAAAATTAAATTACCTAAATATTTATTTATTTATTTATTTATAATGTCATCAATATCCCATCATTATTATTCAATAATCTACTAAATTTATAATGTTTTTCATTTTCACTAATTAACATAGAAAATCAATATTTCTAATTAATTAAATAAATAAAGGGAAAAATACATCTTTACACTTCAACTTCAACTAATAAATAATCGAATAAAGATTTTAACTTAACTAAATTTTAATTTATAATAAACTAATTAATAAATAAACTATTTAAAAGTATTTTCGTTTTTTCAGTTAAATATTAATAGAAAACACTAACAGAACATGACAAAGGGTGGGAAAGAGTCATTTTAAAACTTGTTGGGTGGGAATGTGTCGTTTCACCAAACCTTGGGTGGGAAAATGTCGTTCTCCCCATGAAGATGAGTACAGCTATAGTTATAAGGATGAGTTAATGAGAAGGGAGAGAGAGTAACCTGCGGCAGAGGAAGCTGAGTTGCGTAACCAAGAATGCCACGGCAAGTGAACATGAATAGTGCTGATATCGTGGCCCTTGGTCTTCCTTCTATCAACCAACACCATAAAATATATGTCGTTTGCATCCCCACAAACACCTATTTATTTCACCCAATCAAAACGTCAGCCTAAGCCAATTATTTTTACATTGAACTCACAAAAATAAAAATAAAAAGAAACTGACATTGCATGTGAGGTGCATGTATCGATGCCCTATTATTCAATTGCTTATTATGTTGCTTTCTCAATGCATGTGAAACTTCACCCACCATTCCAAGCAAATAACATTCAAACACCAAAACCGATAAAATAAAATAAACGTGACTCTCTATAGTTTATTACTATGATAGTTTTTAGAATAATGATTTAAAAAAGGTTAAATTGGACAAGTATTACAATATAAAATTTAAAAATTAATAAAAATATTTTTTATGTTTGTTTATTTACTAAACACCCTTATAATAAAATATTAAAAGTTAACAAAAACACTTTTAACTTACCCATTAAGTACGAACAGCCAACCACCACTGCCAAAAGGTGACCAGAATGTTTTTATAATTTCTAAAAAAAATATTTAGGATTGTTTAATTAAATTAACAAATTTAAGAGGTTTAAAAAAAATTAAAAAATATAGAATAATATTTAAGAATAATGATATTTTACTGTTTAACTTTTTTGAGAATACTAATAATAATATTCCTAAAAACGAAACAAACGGAGCCCGTGTTTTTGTTGTATGTTTATCTAATTTTAAAAGGGAATATTTTTATTTTTTTTATTGAGAATGTTATGATCAGTTTACACACAACTTAATTAATTATTCGAGACTTTGGAACTACCTCTGATAGCTATCTCAATACAAAAGGTTATATATTTTTTTTTTAATTAAGAATTTTAATTTTCGGTTTAAGGAATAAATTGATTTAACAATAGACAAAAATGGCAATAAGAACCCTAAAGGATTGGCGTTGCATACAAGAAGGTTTCCCTCTTTTTTAGTTTTTAAGATGAAACCATCTACCACAATAACATTACGACTTAGTTGATCCTTTAGATTAATTAAATTACGTATAAATTAGTTCGACCAACCCGATTAAAAAAAAAAAAAAAAAAAAAAGGGAAACAAGTTCCAAACTACCACTTTAGAAAGATCAACCATTTAAACAGCAAACAAAAAATATTGTTATTAAATCACAACCGTTCAACTCTACCGTTACTTTCTTTGTTGTCTTTTCAAACATCTAACTTTAGTCTAAAAAATCAACTCAACTATAATGATGNGAGTAACCAAGAATGCCACGGCAAGTGAACATGAATAGTGCTGATATCGTGGCCCTTGGTCTTCCTTCTATCAACCAACACCATAAAATATATGTCGTTTGCATCCCCACAAACACCTATTTATTTCACCCAATCAAAACGTCAGCCTAAGCCAATTATTTTTACATTAAAATCACAAAAAGAAAAAAGAAACTGACATTGCATGTGAGGTGCATACATCAATGCCTTATTATTCCATTGCTTTCTCAATGCATGTGAAACTTCACCCCACCATTCCAAGCAAATAACATTCAAACACCAAAAGTGATAAAATAAAATAAAGGTATTTTTGTTGCATGTTTATCTAATTTTAAAAGGGAATATATTTTTTTTTTTAACCAAGAGTGTCCGGATCAGCTTACACGTACATCAACTGACATATACATCAACTAATCTTTTAAGATTATCACTGATGGCTATCTCTAAACAAAAGGTTATATTTTTTTTCTTTTAATTAAGAATTTTAATTTTCGATTTAAAGAATAAATTGATTTAACATTAGACAAAAATGGCAACAAGAACCCCGAAGGATCGGCGTTGCAAACAAGAAGGTTTGTTCTCTTTTTTTAGTGCTTAAGTTGAAACCTTGAAACCACCTACTACAATAATATTATGACTTGATTAATCTTTGGATTTATAAAATATTCAATGAATCTTAGGATTAATTGAAATACGCACAAATTAGTCCGATCAACCCCCTTTAAAAACAAAAAAATGGCAACAAGCTCCAAAGTACCACTCTAGAAAGATCAACCATTTAAACGGCAAACATCAAAACAATAATGTTATTAAATCACTACCGTTCAACTCTAACGTTACTTTCTTGGTTGTCTTTTCAAACATCCAACTTTAGTCTAAAAAATCAACTCAACTATAATGATAAAGGATGATTAAAGTAATACGCTTGATTTAGGACTGATTATACGTATTTGAACGATAATTAAGTTCCACGAAACGCACCGTATTAAGGGCCGCCAACAAAGTGTTAAGTTCAGGCCACGACGTCAGCAAGTTATGCAATGACTTAGTCGCCAAGAAACCGAGATCGAACGGCTGCGAGTAAGCCGGGATCATACGGAGCGTGTACTCCACGGCCATGAAGAACAGCAAACCGACTGCGAAAACACAAGGTATCCTATGATATCTGGCGACGTGGACCACATCCTTCATACTCCAGCTCATGAACGAAGCTTTTCTTAAAACCCCACCACCACTCGTAATGCTCATCATTTTCTTCTCCTTAACGACTTCGCGATCTCCGTCAGCGGTGTTAATAGGCTTGTTGGTATTAGTGTTAGTGCGACCGCGGCGGGTGAGCTTAGAAGAAGGGGTGTGAAGCGTGGTGGTGATGGTGGTGGGTGCAGCCATCATGAGCGGGAAAGGTGAGGAGGAGAGACATGATAGGAGGAATGGGGAGGTGATATAAAAGGTAGTGACAGCGGAGTTCACAAAGAGTCGGTGGGTGGGAAATTGATCAAAAAATGAATTTGTTTTTCCTTATGGAAGTATTGAAGTGCGCCAATCAAATTTATTTTGAGGGGTTTTGGGCGCTTTATGTGCTGAGCGCGTCCCTCAACACGCCTGCTTTTTTAACAAAATATCTAAAATATAAAATTCCAATTAAATCGGTTTTATATGCAGTTAAAAAGCGGGGGTGTACGGTACATTCGAGATTTTAGAATTATTAATTAGATAAGAATTTTAATAATTATATTTATTAACAATTAAGAAAAGATTTGAACTTACGATCTCTTGAATAATATATAGTTTATATATTCAATCATCTAAAGATAATTAATTAGCTTTTATTTTGATAAGTATGATATATAGATTAAGATATCATTGAAATATGGGTGCATCAAGGTTTATCTCTTTTAATATTTTTTATTTCATATAATTAGTTTATTATAAACATATCTAATCAATTTTAATAAAGATTGACTCACAACTCATTCTCACAATCTCAACGTGAAACTCGTAATTAGTCAAACAGAAAAATTCATCAAAAACTAATTACAAGTTTGTGAAATAAAGTTTGTGAGATTGAATTGTAACTATAATATTGTCCAATATATTTTTACTCAAAAGATCAATGATGTATTGTGTCGGTAAAAGATAAGATTTTATATTATTTTATGGCTTGAATTTAGGAATTATATGTGAAGAACATAGGTGGAAACAAAAAGCAATGCTCCATATAAACATATAAAACCATATTAGAATTGGGCAATCCAAGAGGTAGGTGGAGGTTGATGATCTAGACTTTTAACTTATTTAGACAAAAATTAAAAAAATATAAATTGGTAGAAATTAAGGTAACCAAATGGGATTAGAAATCTAATTAATTAGCAAATGTCCTAGAAATTAAGGTAAGATAAGCATCACTTAAATTAAGGGTATATTGGTAGTGGGTTAAAGCATGTGCATGAACTTTCTTGAAGAATTAAGGAGGTTGAATCCAAATATGACTCGGCCCTTCTTGTCCCTTGACCCAACCATAAGTTTGAGCAAAGTCTCCCATTGAGGCTGTGACAGAATCACTACTCACAAAACCAATGAAACACCCATTCCAATTAAAATCAAATGATTTTCCTTCAAATTCCTTTTCATGAATAGTCCATGTGCTAATAGAAATTGTAAGAAAACATGTTGTGTGAGAGTTTTTGACATGCTCGGAATTAGTGAAGCTCGATGCGGCGAGCTGAACTCATAGGAGCGAGCTGAATGAACAATTGTCTCACAGATTACTGATAAGTCTTATCCTCTAATATCAAAGAGAGTATCTCGGAACCTTATCATCCAGTTCTAGATTTGACATGATCACGTCAATCATATGATTAACTTCTCATGATTAAGCCATAATCTCTTCACTTATCATTGTCAAATTCTTATATAAATAACCCTAAAAAAAAACTCATTGTAAAGGGATAGCAATTTTAGAGAGATCATATTTATTTTTTTACTCAAAGCATCAATAGGATAACAACAAACGTAAGCTTGAAAATTTGTAACTTATCTAACCACTTTAAAAACTGTTTGATCTTTGTTGATTTTAATTAATCACGCTTACATCTAATCCGATTTTGTAAAGGTCAATCAAATTTCACTAATTGTTGCGTAAAATCTTAACAACAAAACAGAAATTGCCACAACACATAATTTCACACTCTGGAGAAGTTGGACTCGATGAGAATATTGCAAATTACAATCACAAATATTTATTTCATCTAAATTTAATTACCAATTAAATTCACATATATGTAACTCCAAAATTTTTTTTTTTTTTTAATGATCGGAGTGTCTGAATCAGCTTACGCATACCTCAACTAATATTTAGAACTCATTAAACACCCTACAAACCTAATATTCCAAAATAAACCACAAATATGATAAGTGACATTAGTTTGAACCTAGAAAATCAAAGAAGGAATCAAACCTTCTTGACCTGCTAGGCCAACCTTTGAAATTCAAAATCAGTATTTCACATACACTTTTTATTATTGAAACCAAATGTATACAGAGATTTTGTATAATAAAGCTATGTAACAACAACTGAAGTTAATTTTGTTTCTTTAAAAGCCAAGCTAAAAGAAACCACTTATCAAAATGGTATTTAACAGGAACAAAAAACCTTCAAAAATATTGCCAAAACATCACATCTCAAACTCTATTAAGATGACATTACTGAGAATTATTAGATAACAGCGAGGCTCTTAGCACTCTGATCATATCAGTGAGAGAAACAAGACCAACAAGCAAGCCCTGTTGATCCACCACCCAAACTCGGTGGACATGGTGCGTCACAGCCTTACCAATCACTTGGGCGAGCGGCGAATCCATGTGGCATGTTATGAGTTGTCTTGGTTCAGTTGTGTTGGAAGCTGTATTCAGAGGGCTTGTTGAGATCCTCTGGGTGAAGTCTTGAGCAGTTAGAGGCAACCATGTTTGAAGTGAAGCAAAATGGCAACCCCTTAAATCTGTTGCTGAAAATGTACCTATAAGCTGCCTCCCGTTCCCCTGAAAACAAAGGTGATCAAGAATTTTATCAAATGATAATTATTAAGTACATTGCATTTAATTGATGAACTTAATCTAATTCAGAACCTAGGCCTAATATGCATGGCTCCTTCTATAAGAAATTTCTTCTGTTCTCGACTAATTTAGTGAAGCTATATGAAGCCTGATATCGGTTTCTCTCTCTATTGTATTAACAAATGTGCTCAAAAATTTTCACCTCCATTTCTTGTCCACCACAGTTTAGTCATCGGACTGTTATCCTTGCCAGTTGTTGACTTCTTGGAGCTTGACAAGTCCGTTGAGAATAGAACTACTCGCTTATCAAAGAGCCATAGCCCATAGGTTCTATATATACTATGAATAAGTGTACGAGTTAATACAATAACCCAAGTGTCGTCCCACATCAAAACAACTGAGATAAACCATAGTTTAATTAATCAAGTCGCTATTGATGATGAGGCACTTATGGACAATTTAGGGGTGTGCAAAACCGGATATCCAATCCGGTTTTGCATTTTTTTAATCCAATCCAGAAATTCGGACAAGGATGAATCCTGATCTGAACCCGATCCGAATATTGTCTGATCCTGTTTTATCCAAATTTTCATGAAAAATATTATTTGCCCCCTAAAATTTTGCATAACTCTACCCCTGCCACATCAGCATTTGATTACTTTTGTCCCCCAAAGTTGTCATTCTATTGCGATAGTCCACATACTTTACCACTTTTTACCTAGGACCCCAAAAAAACTTATTAAAACTTGTAGTTATAGACAAAACCGGATCAGATCCAGCTATAGGATTTCTTTGCAGAGCCGATCCAAAAATCCGAATCATTTGAAAATTGATATCCGAATCTGATCCAAATTTTCGGATATCCAATTTTTTCGGATTGGATATCCCCTAGCACTTACACCAAACTAACTAGTATAACCTCTCTATCACATCATGCATGTGGCAGTTTCAAACCAAACGCACCCACCAAACTATAGATGACTTTGAATAGACGCATGTTTCATACCAAACTAATAAACATCTCCAAGGCAGTGCAATTTCCAACCAAGGTCTCCACTACTACACAATTTTTTCACCTACCATGTTCAGATCTTTTCAAGAAGAGTAAACGACATATTCCCACCCAAGGTTTGACGAAATCCCAGGTGAGTACCACAGGTTTCATTTATTCCAGATTCCCACCCTTAAAGTAACAGTGTTATGAATTTTTAGGGTTTAGGACGTGCAATTACCATAATGCCCCTAACCCTAAATTAATAAATTATGTTTTAACCCCTAATTTATTAGAATTATAAAACTTACCATTTTATTTTCAAATTATATCAAAAACACCCCCGATCATTACACACCCTCATCGGAAACAGCCCGATCTGGGCTGTTTCCGACGACGTCGAATGTCCTGGTCACTCCATCACCTTCCCCGTATTCCATCGTCCAAAACCCCTCTCATTCCCCACTCATTTGCCCCTCCAATCGTCGGCACCGTTAGACTTAGGGTTTTGATGTTCTTCACCGAATTCCGGCGGTGAAAATCCAATTGGACACCACCAATGAAACCACCGTATCCAGATCTATAAAAGCCCCATGTCCCCAGCAGCCGTCTCGTCGTCATTCGTCGGCCGAGAGTTCGTGTTCTTTGGCCGTTTTTCGATGAAGTGGTGGACAGCAAACGGTGAGCTGCCATGGCTGGAAACGTTAGGGGTTTTGTAGGCGAGGATTGGAGGAGTCAAATGGTGGTAACAAGGGTGATTTTGGGTGGAAAAATCGCCGGAAAAAGAGCAAAAAAGTTTATCGGCGGTGGTCTACTAACGTGCGCCGGAGGACTGTTGCAGGCGGTGGTCTGCTAACGTGCGCCGCCCATGTAAAATGACCAATTTACCCCTTTACCATTATATCAAACGTTTTTCCGTCACTTTAAGGGTGAGAATCTGGAATAAATTGAACTTGTGATACTCACTTGAGATTTCGTCAAACCTTGGGTGGCAACATGTCGTTTACTCTTTCAAGAATATCATTGACACCCATAATGAAATGTCTGTAACTGCTCTCTCTTTGTCATATTGATGGTTCTATCCCCACGGGACGTCGGCAGCCCAAGTACCTCTTCAATTTGACCCCAAAAAAACCTACCGTCCTTCTAATGGTCTTAGTCTAAGATATTATTGAATCAGTAAAATATGTTAAAAAATTAATAACATTGACTACTTACCTTTATAAGCTGCTTGGGATCTTCTTCAAGGGTTTCAGAGGCTTTAACTATGGGAACAGCATGAAACAAAGCAGCCTTCATGCACTTGATAGCATCGATAACTTTCGTACGTTCAGTAATGGCGAAAACAGTTTCATTCACCGCTCCCAATTCCCTCACAGACTGCGATATAATACCCTCGATTTCATAGGCATTGTGGTTGTTCATCAAAAATTCCAATAAATCCATCTGCGTCAGCATTCGATAGCTCGACGCAGATTCCACAAGTTCAACTCCTGAAACGTTCTCCATCTGGCTCTCCGCTGGAACCAGGGCCCGATGAATTCCCTTGCTCAACACTTCCATACAGTCTATAATGCTGCATTAATTTGTGACGAAATTAAGCAATTAATCAATAATGACAAATGATAGTTGAATGTCCATTATTGAAAGATTTTGAAACTTTTGTCCTAAAAATCTGGAAAAATAAACATTAATAAAATTGAGGTGCATACTGACTCACCTAGTATTGGGATTTAAAGTCCAGAGACTTAAACCCTCAAGGCAATGTCCTATGATGGACGAAACAGGGACGGACATCTTCTTATCAAGATCAGACCCATCATCACCACCGTTCACCTGATCATCACCGGCAATGTGGGCCAAAATATCAAGCATAGTAAGCATACCTATGTAGTGTTTCCGGACAGCTCCCGTCTGCTTATCCGACTCCAAGATCATGGACCCACCGGCACCGATCCAGTGCCCAGGCGGTGCAGCCACCGGCACCGCCACAACCTTGTTGGCCACTAAAGTGTTCATGGTGTGAGCTAAGGATGCAGTGTACGGCACCTCCACTAGCCGCCTCTTGTCTGCCGTTATATCCTTCACTTTCTTGTCTCTCAGCCGTTGATTTTCCACCTCATGATCGGGGCTACTGTCTTGCTCCGTTGTCTGCTGCATTTTGGTAAATGAAATGAGAGTAGAAAGAAACTAGATAAAAGCGTATCAGTGTTTTTCGTATTTGTATATCAAGTTATCAACTCAACAAAGATAAATACGTGCATGAAGAAGTACACGTGTCAGTGTAAGAATCTATAAGGTCGCATGGCTGCGTATGATCTTGACACGTCGAATGATTGTGAAAGAAACGATAAAGATTATAAAATAGCAAGTGCTTGGCTTGCGGGAGCACTGTCTCCTTTATCCTCAAATTTGTTTATAATAATATTATTAAATAAATTAACAATTAATTTTCATTAATAAACTGAAAAGGAATTTTTTTTTACTTTTTATTACTAAAATGGGTGTTTAGATCAATGTTTTAAAACCCAACCTAGAGTAAAACCAAGCAAATTGGCCGAGTCCCGGGTGGACCGGTTTGACCGATAGGTTAAACCGGTGTCCAAATATTTAAAATCTAACAAAAATACCCTTAAAAATTACATGTAAGTCTTTATAGGTTTGAAATCTTGTAAAAATACCCCAAACACCACTGTCGGCGTCAACAAATAGGGCATGTTTCCACTTTCTAGCGACAACAAAACTCCCCATTACCGAGAAAACACTCCCCTCAGCCTCCTGACCAAAACCCATCTCACCCCTCCCTCATTCACCTCCCTAATCGTCGATGACAATGAGATTTTTCCAACGACATTGCCACCATTACACTCACTAATAGTTTCTCTTCAAAAGCCCTAACAATTTAGCCAACAATTGTTAACGGATTGATACTCTAATTTATACGGTTTTGAATTAATAGGAAATTTTGTAACTGGACCTAGACGTGGCGGTGGAACAAAATTTTCACGACCCACCGTGCCATGGGTTGTGTTGTGCCATGTCAGACAACCAAAACTCAAGGCCCATAACACAGCCCATGGCCCTATGGGCCATGCAGTGCCTTCATGGGCCAGCCCACTTGCCACATAGGCTTTTCTCAAAAAATTTAAATTTTTTTATTTTTTTTAATTCATGGGCGGTGCCGTGTCGACCCACATGCCCACAGCATGGGCTATGGCATGACACGAAATTTTTATGTTGTGCCAAATAAATTGTGAGTCGTGTCAACCCACGTGCCGACACAATCCATTGCCACCTCTAACCCGACCCAATGACAGCTCTGAGTCCCAGTTGAAACGGCCGCACCAAGCCGGGTTTTAAAATTGTGGTTTGGATCATCAATTGTTTAATTTATCTTTAATACAAAATCATCCACTTACATTTAAACACATCAATTTGTATGGATGAATTTGTATGAAAATTTTATAAATGTAGTATTATTCATCAAGATAGATAATGGTGCTCATTGGGTAACCGGTAGTATTCAAATCAAGATCCTATTTCCTTTATACCTAAAACCCCGGTGTTTAATTTAGAGTATGAGAATGATAAGCGTAAAGCAGAATTCTGCCATCGTTAGTCATTATTTACATATACACCAACTTTACTAGCATATAATCTCCTACCCTCTTTTAACTCTTGTGTTATATGAACATTTTTTATGTATCTTTTCACTATTACTCCAGATCGTCAAAAGTTAAACTACTAGCTGTATTCATACGGTAACAACCTGTGCATTCTAAGGTAAGAAATGTAAACTTTGTAGCCCCTTTAAAATAAAAATGGGGAAGACCCGGTGAGGTACTCGCAGTATCATCGATGATCCTTCAGCAACATTTTCAGCTAGAGCTAGCCTCTGCTTCCATTAGCTCCAAAACGGTGACTCCACCATGAGAAAGTCCAAGGGCGAACTGATTGGGCTCAGATGGGTGGGCTGCAACAGCAACTGCGTATATCCGTGAGCTGCAGAGCAATTGTATCAGTGCACTAAGGGCAGGTATTGGTGGCAGGAAAAATATGTGCTATATGGCTCAGGAAGAAGATATGTATACCGGTGATTAGAAGGAACATATTCCCCGATGATGATCCGCTGCTTCAGCTTGAGGCTTGTGGCATTTAGAACAGCCACACTTCCATCTCCAAGGGCTGCATAGATTGACTGGCCTTCACATGAATACACAGCATCCATTATTATTGTACCAGTTGGTCCCGTGCGAAACGACTGTGATAGAGGGAACAAGGTATTACTTAAGCGAAAATTGCAAGGTCTAGACCCAGATATTTTAGCAAGAAAGTTACTGTTTGGGCATACAATACAATAGGTATTGGACACCAAAAAGAAGATCATCGTATGCATGATATATGCATGCAGTACTATAGTGGTTTGATAATTGGTTTACACTAATAAGACTATGGAAGAGCAGACTAAGATGAAGCCGAAGTATTAATAAACTGAAGAATTCCTGGCACACCTGTTCAAGACGCTCTAGTGTTGGTGCTTTATATACGGTTATTTGAGTTCTTTGCACAGCAAGCACGTGTATCTGATCTTGTTGAAAGTTAACATGGGTCGGTGACATAGTTCTTGGTACACACCCATTGGCAAGCTTTAGGAATCGACTAGCCTGCTTCTCCCATCCATCCAAGCTCCACACACACAGCTGCAAACAGCATAATTCAATTTATCCTGAGTTTAACATCTAGGTGGAATCAAGATATGCCAAACACAAGAACTGTCAATGTGATAATTGTGCATAATCAAGTCAAAATAATGATATTTATATAAAGAAAAATTTATTGTCTAACCACATAAATTTTAATAAAAGTGCTTTCATCAAAAAGTCATCATATTCAACATATTCTAGTATTCACAAATAAAAAAAATATTGATAAACAATTTGACAACGGTAAAGAAAAAAAGATTCCAGCTCATAAATCTACCATGACTTGTAGTCTAATTGTGAGATTGATATTTCCTTTAGAAAACCCAAGTATGTCATTAGGGAAAAAACAGAGTTGTAATAGACAATGACACATATTCTTTTCTAAGAGAAAATAAGATCTCCATAAGAGAAGAGCAGAAACAGCAATCCAGATAGTGGCATGAAGCCTTCCTATACCAGGAGGACCTTGATACAAACTAAGATAAAGTATTGAGACGTTAATTTCACAAGATTTAGCACCTTCTTTGACATTTTTTTTTTTAATTTTAACAGGCCCATTCCTCATCTTATAATAGCCCTTTTGCTTTATACTATACATACATATATGGAGTGCCATAAAAATGCATGCATTATCAAGACTAAAAGACGAGCGTGTATGTGTGTGTGAGATTCAGAGACAGACACAGAGACAGACAGACAGAGATACATTTGTAGCACTCTTGATCCTTTGTATATAAAGCATACCTGAGCATCAGCTCCAGATGATACAAGCACATTAAGAACAACAGAAAATGCAAGGCCAGTAACTTTATGTTGGTGATCGGTTAGCTTGTTTTTAACCTGTGCATACATTAACATCATATTTTCAAATGGTTAAATTTGAAAAATCTAATACAGACTTGAACATTAAATCTCAAAATTAGGCCTAAGTTAAGGAAAAACACCTTAGCAAACTTGATATCATAGACAAGAATTGAAGAGTCATCCATGCCGATTGCAATAATGTTATTGTCCTTTGGATGGAAGGCAAGACAAGTTGCTGCAGGAGGTGGGGGGCAGCACTTCACCACTAGCTGCACAAATAAAAACATTAACTTCCTACACAGACAGCAGGAAATTGCTGAGCAAATTACTGTATATTCTACCTTAAACGACTGCATCATGAATAAGGAAACCATCCCCCCTGATGCTGACAAAAGATGGGCATCATCTTTCGTAAGAGTAAAACATGGAAGGGCATTTTCTTTGTTTATCTTCTCGATGTCATTGCTCATCTTTATGCCATTAGATGGCAGCCATAATTGTGGTGGCACAGCACTAGTTGCCTGCACTAGGAAAAGCTCGGTGAAACAGAAGCTCAATGAAAATAACTAGGAGATGAAAAGCATGCCTTTTTAGTGAAGAATATATACCTTTCCACTTAGATTTTTCTCATTTTTCTGCCACTTCCATACTTTGTGCATGGCATTATTAGCCAATGCTATTATCGCAGATCCTGCATGTGTATACATCAACTTAACAACCTGCATCAAGTATAAAGACAACGAGAATTAGCAAGTGATGTATACAAACACAATTTAAGAGAATACTAGCGTTAATTTAAACTGATGATATAACAAAACAGACTCACAAATGCAAAGAACCATGATGAACCAGGTTCCTCATATTTAGCAGAAAAACTTGCTTACATGGACCAGAAAATTTCATGTGCTAGACTATGGTTTTACAAAATTCAATTTGGGAAAATCAATTCCACTTAAAACTTTGAACATGATGAAGAGAAAGCTAGACTGAATGATATGTTGGAAAAAAATTCTCATAACATTCTAATTTAGGTTGACCGGCCAAGACCCTGTTTAGTACAAATTAAACATTTGGACCTCTAACCAATGCTGGTTTAAGGAGAAACATACCTAAACTAGAATATTTCCAGAATCTTTTAGCAAATTCAGCAAAACACCAGGAAACTAGGATAAATCATTGATATGAAAATTTTAGTAAAATAGAGGGTGGAAGGTCAAATCATAATTAAAAACTAGAAATCATATATAAGCTCTTAATTTGGAAGTTAAACTTTAGAAGTTATTTTAGGACTTTACCCCAAGGTAACCCTCGCAGAAATCATAAAAAATCTAGAGCATACTTAGTTCTAAGAGCGGATCTAAAAGCATATCAACCAGGAATATATATATGGTTGAACAACACACAAACAAATGGTATAGGGTAGACAATTACATACATCCATTTTCTTTTTCTATTTGCATGTGTATACACTGCCAGTATGTTGCATGGAAGAGCAAGCATCACATGACAAAATCCTGTGATCAAATAGCACATGCATATAGTGCATTGCAGGATGCAATGGACCAAGAAAAAATTCCTATGTCATGACCCCAAACATGACTTGACCTAGGAAAAATAAAATGACCAATTGCTTGTCATAGTACCAACACTTTATTCCCTAAAGTTGACACCAAAACCAGCATCACCCAAGTTTAATTTCAGGAAGAGTTGTATAAGCTCATAAACACACCTTTTCTGGTGAAAGACTATCTTGAAGTCGCAAGGCACGAAGTCCAGACGATTGATTGATTACAATTGGCCGCCAGATCTTATATTTCTGTGACTCATCGATGACTCTTGATTTCACACATGGCAAAAATTGAGTATCTCCATTCTAAAATAATATAAAATTGTTAGACCCAAAAGCAATTACAACATTTCTAGCATCAAAATACCACAAGAAAACAGCTTCACTGCTCACCTGCCTGGCATCTGGAAAAAGTTGCACCCTTCCATCTGCAATCCCAACATTAATTCTAGTGTTTGAACTTGAAGCAGATGTGAATATCACAGGTTCCTGAATGGTAAGTAAGGGACATTCAGAATTTCTGTTGTGTTAATATTTAGGGTTGGTCACCTCACGTTACAAAGCCTAGGAGATCAAATTTACCTTGGTGAAAAACCCGATATTTTTAGTTACTGCAGAAGGATCACAATTGACATTAGGTGGCTCGCAACTATGGTCCATAAAGAGGGTTTTTATATCAGGGTAAGGCTTTGGACTAATGCACATATAATGCTGCCAATTTAAACTGCAGATCAACAATAACAACAGAATAAGCATTTCAGTTGGTAATACATCTTTCAAACAGAAGAACAAATTAATTCCTCGTCCAAGCTATACCTCTGATTGATTACTGTCGTCAGCCTTGAATCATCTAGATTAGGAAACTGAAGTTTGTCATGAAAGACTGGGTTTTTCAGCACCCAGTTATTTAACTTTTCAAGCATTACCTGTCTTGAATACTGCTTCGTGAGGCTTCAAAACATTAAGAAAGTAGAAAAATCTTCCATTAAACTTGTACGGACAGGAAGATGCATAAAATGCTACTTTTTAACTACATGCATGATTTAACACTTCTACCTCAAGCCTTTGTCTAATAGCATAACTATTGCACTTAAAGATGAAAAATAAGACCGTGGCATTAAGTGCTCATTCCAGTTCTTTCCTAGAATAACCATGAGTACAAAAAGAAAACATCTCCACTAACGTTAGAACAGTGAAATCATCCTACTTATGTTATGTTGGCAATTTCTTTTCTATGAAAAACCTACTTATTTAGATATTAAACATTCATTGACTAAACTTTCAATCATTAGTTCTTGCCAAAAATTAATAACTGCATAGCCATACCAAGCTGCCTAGGATTGCCCATTCCAGTTTTGACTGAGAGGGCACAACAATAAGTTAGAGCATCTAATGCCAGCACTGAATGTTTTTTATTTTTTATTTTTGGTAATTGTCATTTTTGGAGTTTTTGATATACAACAAGTATAGCTTTTAATCGTGAGAAGTCAATCATCAATCGTGACCAGCATATTAACTATGAAATTCTTCGAGAAACCCCACTGTTATCTTACAGCTAAGTAAAGTAGCTGACACAAACCATTTGCAATATTCAAGCATAGTAGTCCATGTCCATTTCCATGCAATTTTTTCACCACACACTGTACTAGGCCATAAATTGTATAAGACACCCAAAAGCATTGAACAGATCAATTTGAAAAGTTTGAAAGAAATTTTTGCATACCTAAAGTTTTCCAAAGTCAAAAGATACGTAAGATCCTTGACAGTTGTGTCATCAAATTCGGAGAAGCGTTTCAATTCCTTAAGAATTTCCACAGCCTTCGCTATATCGCCTCTACAAATAAATCAAGATCAATGCATTCATATTATACTTCAATTTAAACAAATATGCCCAAGTAAGGACTAGATAAACATGAAGGTACCGATCTAGTGCTTCAAGGTACTTCTGCTTACGAATCTCAAAGAACATGAGTCTTGAGTATTCATTGTCATCGGATTTTGTAAAGCCAGGCAAATACTTCACAACCTCATCCAATTCACCATTTGCCGCAATGTCCTTAAAGTAGGTCATATTGAAGAAAACTCCTGACTCCTTTTCCAATCTTCAATCAATCAAAAATTAAAAATAAAAATAAAAATAAAAAAAGATCACAAAAAATTAGAGAAAAAATAATCCCATACAAAGAATTATAGATTTAACAAGTGACCCAGTTTGGTAGCATAGAAAATTTTTGAAAAGTAAATCATATTCTTGAACTATAAAAAATATAACACTAGCAAGTAGCTAAGCTCAATCATCCATTTTTTTCTTTCTCTTGAAAATAACTGAATGAAGCATAATATTAAAACTTTTAAAAACAAATAAATCACACTTCTTGAATTATTTATTATTTGGCATTAAAGGTTCATAAAAAAAAATAAATAAATAACAATAGAATATTACCTTCAAATTTCGAAAAGATTTCCCTTCTTCATTCTTCCTTTCTTTCTTAGGTCATTGCATTACATCACATCAAAAGCTAAAGACAAAACGACGTAGTACAACATACAATTGAAGATAACATTTTCTTTTATTTTTATGTTTTTTTTTCATTTCCCTCATTTTTTTTCTAAGCAACCAAACACAAAGAAACCACAACCAAATGTCCAAGAAAAGAAGCAATTAAAACTAAAAGGATCAAATTGCAAGAAAAAGAACAAAGTTACGTGTGAATAGTGTCATTGTAGTTGTGTTCACGCAAGAACTGAAGTATCAAACAAACAATTTCTCTTCTCATCAGCGACGACGACATTCTCTTGTTTCAGCGTGAAGTTCACTCAAACGTTTGATAGGCCTTCAATTCAAAGCAGCAAACAAGAATTACAGAAGCCATTTCAAATTTTGATTTAATAATTAGGGTTATAAGTATTACCTGTAGAATAATGTTGAGTTCTGAAACTGCAGAGTGTTTTTTGTGAGGGAAGATGGCTTGTCTGGTAAGCAATCACACGAATTAGATTTAGCGCGCTCTTTTTTAACTCATTACAAAATGGAGAAAATATCCTATGTTGCGCGCTTATGTTTGGAAACGGTACACCGTAAATTAAACGACTTTGATTTAATAATGTTATTTTCTATGTATTAAATTTTTATTTACTCTTTTTATGTTTGTTAGTTTGAATCTTTCATTAAGGAATTATCCCTTTTTGTTCAAGAGGAGTAGAGGACCGACCTTTTTTTTTTTTTTAATGACCAAAGGTTTTAGGGCCGACTTACGTATACCTAAATTAATCTTTCAGGACCCTGAAATTATAGGATGGGTAAGAACTTCAATGTCTCAATGGCTATTCCTATTAAAAACTAAGGAAGAATCGAACTTAGGGATTGTTGAGTAATACACTCAAAAGTCTCGATCGAACCACTTGATCACCCATAAATAATTTATAAGACTAACTTTTTTTTGCTTGGGTCATTGTATCTCCTATTAGTTAATAGTAAAAACTAAAAACCGTTGTGCTTGACCTTTTTCAGTGAGTAGTAAGCACATGTTAGTCTTATAAATGTGAGCCTAACCCTTATTTTTTAAGGGCTGTTAGGTTTTTCTATTTAAGTCTGGAAGGAAATGACGTTTTCCATTAGACTAAACGACATTTCCCACCTAAGGTTTAGCGAAATTGCAAGTACACATCCCTGGTTTCATAAATTCCAGATAACCACCCTTAAGTTAACAAAAAAATCTTTTAATGTAATGGTTCAAAGGTAAAATTGTCATCTGAACTACATTAAGGGTGCGTTTGGTTTATTATTTTGGATAGGATTTTGGGAATAGTATTGGATAGTTGGATACGATTATGATTACAAGAATAAGATTTGCAGGATATGTGTTTGGTACGGTATTTTGACATTGATATTTGTGTTGAATATTTTATTAATATATTTTTTTATAAATGATTTATTAATATAATATTTTGTTGCATTTTGTTAAAATAATGTATTATTATATATATATAACTTATCAAATTACATTTTAATAATACTAAATATTTTATTGGTAATTTTGTCACCCGTATATATTAAAAAACAAAAACCCATATTAATTTCAAGTACTAATCCAACTGTTTAAAAACACCACATTAATGCATATATGACAAAAGTACTAATTATCAATCCTTACAATCATTATTACAAGTATACTCCATTAACAACTACGACATGGTCCACTGTGCCACCCACAGTGCATTCGTTATGTTATCCCGTATAATCGTCATGTAGTCTATAATACCTTATTGCGGTTGACTCGGTCCTTCTCCATTTCGGCCATATTCTGCCCCATTTTGACGATCACAATTTACTTGCTCATTAGCCGTACTATTATTGGTTTGTTCGAAGATACGGTCGTCCATATTGTACATTCTGATAAAATTATGAAGTACACAACATGCCATAACAATCTTCCCTTGTTTGTCCAACGGGTAATTGTTCATTTCATTTAGAATATGTAACCGTCTTTTCAAAATACCAAAGGTTCTCTCGATAACATTGTGGAGTGAAGCATGTCTGTAGTTAAACAACTCTTGTGGCCCTCTTTGGTTACGGCGGTGATCAGAAATATGGTAAGCCACTCGCCTATGAGGGGCGAGGAACCCATCCCTATTTGCATAACCCGCATCAACCAAATAGTATTTCCCTGTAATAATATCAAACATTTTATTTGAATTACAGGGCCTCAACAGTGGATGTAATACGCTATAATACGTCAAGAAAATACTTATACCTGGTGGAGGATGTGGGAATCCAGAATTAGGATCATCAATAATTGAATTTAAAACTCTTGAATCATGCGTAGATCTTCCCATCCAGTAACGACATAAGTGAACATCATGTTAAAGTCGCATACAACCATTACATTCTGTGACATCGATCCTTTGCGATTTTGGTACCTATCAGCAAATTCACATGGAACCAAAGCGTATATATGTGTGCCATCCATGGCTCCAATACAGTCCTATTATGAAAATGAGGCATTTTACTAATATTAACCTATTAAACAAATTAATAACACAATGAACTTAACTATCTACTAATAGCAAATATAATGAACCAGTACCTTAAAGAAAGGGTAATATTTTTTGTTGGCTGATATTTCCCATGGAACATCATTGAAGTCAGGTGGTCTGATAAACTCTGTCTTCAACTCACATATAGCGTCGCAAACTGCGGTAACATGTTTAGAGACCGTCTCACCCGAATGTTAGAAATCCTCCATCATCGTTCTAATTGTCTCATTTTTTCCAACGATTGTTAGAAATATCATAACTTGTTCTTCCAAACTCGTCCTCCTGGTTGGTTGCAATTTTCCTTGATCAGACAAAAATTCACATAACAATGTAAAACAGTCTTTGTCCATGCAGCACTTGTCATAGATCCTGTCAGGATGACCGTTGAGTACTTCTAACATGTACTGATGACTAGTTAATACGGATGTATGTCGTGGTTGACGCTGACTTGCTTCTAACGCGGCAACACCGTAGAGTGCAATGGCTATATCTGTCAGTATTTCTTCTTCGTCCCTCTCATCTGTAGCACGTCGTCTTCTTCCTATATGGCTAGACGACGCCATTTAAACCCACACATTTGAAAAACATTTATCAACAATTAACAGTTGTTGTACTACTTAGCAAAATATAACAGTCAATATTTAATTGTAATGACAATCGAAAACAGTTTTTACACATTACAATATCACATAAATCAGTTCATACAGTAGCGTTATAAATTGTAATTGTAATGACAACTGCCCACTGACGCATGCAAAATTGTTGCCAAACAATTATGAAATATAGTGTCATCTACTAATTATTGGAAAAAAATTTATGAATCTAGTTAGCCTTTTCCTCCAGTGGGAGTTTCACAAATATCTCCCGCCACCCTGAATTTTCATATAAGTACGTGACAGCGGGCAGATAAAACTGTGTCGGTACTTGCATGGCCGTCATGATGTCAATACAATTGCTCATGGAGAAAGGATCAGATGGAGCAATGATGTTCTCTTCTTCCCTCTCATCTGCACTGCGATTGGAAGCCCTCGATCCCATTGTCCGCTTCTCTGCAAGCTCGTCCATCAAGCTAAAAATGGCATTCGCAATTGAATGTCCCGGCCCTCTTCTGTGCCTCCGATTTCTCGCTCTTCCATGGCCAGATGTGTTTGGCCCTTTTTCCCCTGTCAAACAATCAAGATCAGGTTCAAAGTCGCTATCATCCATGGGAACCGCGCTGAGATTGGAATAACTGGAGGTCTCCACCTGTTGGGATGTAGATGTGTACGCATATCTTCCAGTGGCAGTTTGCTTCTCAAATATTATTTCATAAAGTTCCTTGTGAAGAAGTTCCTTGTGGTAAAATTGTTACGCCAGTGGGTTTTGCTGGTAAGTTAAAAGAATAATATATTAATATTTAGCAGTCCAAAAAAAACGCGTACATTTACAGTGACGTTGAATAATAATAGTTAAAAAATATTAAAATTTACCTTGACATATTCTTGCCAAACCTCAACGGGACACGTTGGACTTTGTGACTCCTGATCCCTCCTGAACCCCATGTGTTGCAGCAATTTTCGTCATGCTTGATAAAGTTTTCGCAGGCGAAAGAACTTAGAGGTTATTTGTGTCACGTTGAGTCTCCTACCAACCAATGATGATATGTCGTCCAACATTTCTTGGCAATCAGCTGTTTTTATTGCAGTACCATGTGAAGTTTTGGCCCGCTCAGATAACAGGACCAAAAATTTGTGGGTCATCTCAGCGGACCCGGCCACATAATCACCCATCTAAGGACAGTACGGTGAGGGACAACCAACATTGGGGCACCATACGAATCGCCAATCACATTACAAAATATAATACTCACATGTTAACGTAATCAACTAAACACATATAAAATTATACCTCGTTCGATTCGACACTTCTTGAAGACGTCAATGCAGGGGAAGATACAGACAATGTCGACCAACAGGGTGTATGATGAACTGCAAGTCTAGAAAAACGTCAAATCTTTCAGCTCTGTTGTAAGTAATAATCAATCCTACGACGTCGAGACAAATTATTAAACCCGAATAAAATATTTGAGTCAACTAATTACAAAACGCATTATTAAAGTCCAAATTAAAAGGATTAATGAAAAGAAAAAAATAGTATTAACAAAAATTATTTCCAATAAAAAAATGAAAAAAATAGCGTCTCAGTGACTTGAAAACAAATAGGTAACGGAAACTTACAAACTAGATTTGGATACTTTGCGGGTCTATTTCCCTTCTCTGAGACAGATAAACATCAAATACAATTAAAGGGTGTGTGTACAGGAGATTAAAAACATGTCAAACAAAACAAAAAACTTATTAAAACAATTCATCTGTTTGCCAAACAAAACAAAAATGCATTGAAAAGGCCTATGCCAAATAAAACAAAAACGAAAAAAAAAAAAATCATTCCCGTGCCAAACAAAATAAACAACCAATTACAATAATGTGCCAAATGCCAAATTAAACTCATTCACATGCGTGTGCCAAATGCCAAATAAAAGCAAAACCCATTCCAAATACCAAATAAAACAAAAACCATTCCAAATACCAAATAAAACAAAAACCCATTCAACAATCCATTAACGCAAAAGAGCATTCTCTTCTACACAGATCAAACAAAAACCCATTCACACCATCAACGCAAAATAGCATCCCCTTCTACACAAATCAAACAAAAACCCATTCACAATCAATTCCTACCAAACAAATAAAAAACGCAAAACAACATCTGAGGT